TTTAGTCTTCCCTACCTCAATCGACCTCTAATCAGTCCATCACCATTTAGCCAGCTCTTACCAAATCAAGGTGGTGGTATCAGTTCGTTTCCCTTCAGCCAGCTCTTACCCAACCAAGCTGGTAGCTCCAGTGTTGCTTCAACGGTCCGACCCATGACAAATCAAGCAACTGCTTCAAACGCAGTATCATCTGCCAGTCAACCGCCACCAAACCAACCTATTGGTTTCAACGCTTATTGCACAACATGTGTTCATAACTTCTTTGGAATTCCTACATCAACGCCTGTTACGGTAATACATTATCATGACTAATGGAAAATATGAAAACTATCTGTCTACAAATTTTCAGACTTTGCCTCCAGAAGAACCCACAACTCAAAACGTCTTTCAACGTGCTGGTTGGGAAACCGATGACAAAGGAAATGTTTTCGTTGGAACTGACGACTCAAAATTATTGCTAATCTCCGTAGGCTCCTATTGGCCGTTCCCCAAGGATTACCGTAGGAGATAGCGTACGGATAACACCACACTAATAGTTCTATAGTAAACTCCTTTTTATCCGCGATTTCGTAAGTATAGCAACTGCTTATTAATATCTGCATTTACTACTTCATTTTTCAAAGTGAGCAGGATTTTGGCTACTTATGGGCAGACCGTTCAATCTCCTGCCGCTCATAAACCATTTAGTGAGCTGTTCAGCACGCCTTAGAATGCAAAGGCGCGACTAGATACAAATCATAGAATAAGACAAATCATGTTTAAGTTAGTCTTGTTAGTCTTGATTTATGAAGTTATTCTATCATTGTTCAGCCTTGTATAGGAGTATCTATTTACGAGAATCACCCCTAAGGCAAAGCTGCCTTACCATCTTTCTGGCTGTCTCTTATTGACGTCATTTGATTGATTTCAGCTTATTTCTCTGGAACTTGTTTTTGAGGGCATTGATCTTCATATTCGAGTATGAGGAATACCTCAGCTCTAATTATGAGAACCAATCTTCGCAAACTTGTTTTGCTTATACCCCACCATTTCACTTTTCCTTATACAGTTT